CACACATATAAAATTGTGAACATCTCATACAGTGTTATTAATAACTGAAATGCAGTTAATTGATATAGTCCTGGAAGTTTATAAGCTCTTGATGTTATGTTAGGGTTTTACACCTGGCAACATTTTCGCAACACAGACAGGAGGAGGCAACAGGATGTAGGCCTAACGTTAAATGTTCAGTGACTGAAGGTCTTGAGAGGACTATGTTCTTCCTTTCAGAAAAGAAGCGATTTGCATTGAGTGGAAGCTGCTCAGCGCAAAAGTTCAACTACTTTCACGTGCCATGTGTGTGAGCTTGCCGTGCAGTGCACGTTGCTCGACGCATCAACAAACTACCCTGGCGCGGCGCAAGTCATTGAAAATAACGGGCCTCATAGCGCAGCGGTGTTGTTGTTGCGTTGGGTCTGAAAGGTTACACCCGCTTTGTTTGTTTACGTCGCACTGAAAGCTCGACTCTCACCGCTACAGCATCGACTGCAGACACGTTTATATTTAATTCCCTACCAACTTTTGTATTACCTTTACTTGGGCGTGCAAAGCTGGGTGGTGATCCCTCAGGTGCTGCATCAAGTTTGATGTAGTTATTCACTCTTTTAGCAACAACCTTTTAACGGCAAGTTTTTGAACAGGTGATCTGTCATCTTCAGTAATGCCCTGGTCAGTCTTGGTGTACCTGAAATGTTCCCACAGTGCCGACTTCAGCCGTTTCTTTGGTGGAAATAAAGCTTCACAGTCTCGTCCCTCTGCCAGAGTTTAGCCAGTGTACAGTAGCCTCCGATAAGCACCACACATTAAGCTTGTGTAACTTTCGTTCTGTGCAAGTTGCAACAGTTTCGTTTCATGTAACAGCAACACTCGGTGTAGCGGAGCCTTTACGATTAATTAACTGTGACGTTTTAAAGCGCGCTTAATAGTGAAATCCGGTAATCGCTGCATCCCTAGTATGTAGTGGTAAAATGTATCATAATCTAAACAAAAATGGAGGCCCACTTGATGTCACGGATACTCCACTCAACTGTGATGGAGTGCCTGTATTTAAATCATCACTATATAGTATATGGCCATTACAAGGGATTGTAAATGAGCTTCCTTACCTTGTACGAAAGAAAATGTTTTACTTTTTGGCTTGTGGTTTGGCAGTAAAAAGCCAAATGTTAATACATTTTTAAAGCCGTTCACTCAAGAGTGTCTGAAGTTGTCAACTGTGGGCTTCAACTTAAGAAGAAACAGCAATTTGGAACAATGTAGACTTGTGGTAGCTCTTATGATGTGTGATTCAGTTGCCAGGCCCATACTACAAAACATGACACAGTTTAATGGTCAGTATGGATGCAGCATTTGTCCACATCCTGGTAAACAAGTTCAAAAGGGAAATGGTACTGTTAGGGCATACCAAAAAAGGGACCATGCCTCAACCATAAGTGATACAAGGGAGGCTCTGCGTATGACAAAATCTGTGAGGGGTGTTAAAGGGCCCACATGGCTTATAAACATTCCACAATTTGACATCATATCTGGCATGCCACCTGAGCATATGCATAATGTACATCTTGGTGTGGTTCGGCAAATGGTAAACATGTGGCTGGACAGTGAAAACCATGAAAAGACATATACAGGGAATAGAATGACTGAACTTGATCAACAACTCTTACTGATTAAGCCCCCTTGCAATGTGACGAGAGTGCCCCGATCTCTTCAGTAAAGGAGGTTTTGGAAGGCTAGTGAAATGCAGAACTGGTTACTTACTCTCCTTTTCCACAATGTTGCCAAAATTACTTTTAACAAGGCATCCAATATTCCACTGGTTACTTACTATGCACTCAGCAGAGGAGTTAAAAAGATTTGTCAGAAAATTTTAAACACTCTATGGAAAGCAGCATGTGTCATATAATATACATTTATGTCTTCATTTGCCTGAATTTGTTAAGAACTGGGGACCATTGTGGGCACATTCTGGATATATTTTTGAGTAATTTAACGGGGAAATTCTAATAATGTTTCGTGGCACTCAGTGTGTTCCTCTACAGATAATGAAAGAATTCACATATAGACAAGTATTGCCTCTTTTGAGAAATAATGCACTGAGAAATGCTTGAAAGAGTAGCTCATCAGTTGTTACTCTTGGTCTACATTATTCATGAAAACTTACTAGTGAGGAGATACTGGCTGTGAGAGAGCAACTTTCAGTCACTGTGGATACAGTTGTGAAAATATTCAGTAGACTTCTATTCAAAGGTCAACTGTTTTACTCACAAGAGTTCACTAGAGTAGTGAAAAGGAACAGCTTCACAGTTTTGCTACAGAATGGACACATTATCACTGTTTACTATGTAGTGTCCAGTGCTTATGCATTTGACTCATTGTAGTAGAGCAACAAGGTAACAGAAAATGCATTGCTCTTGGTAGATAGTATGATAGAGCACATAGTAGTACATAGATTAATGTCGAAAATGTAATTGCTCTAAAAATTGTATTGCTGTCACGATCCTGTGCTGTGTGCTGTGTTTTCGGGTTTTCATTCTGAGGGTTTGGGTTTGTAGCGGCTATTTAGTTTGTGTTTCGGTTCCATGTCTTGGTTCCCAGTCTGGTATTTATGTCGTAGTATTTACTCCTTGTCCTTGTACTTCTGTGTTGTGTTTTTGATCTGTTATGTAGTCTGTCTGTGTTTTGGGTTTCAGTCCTGTCTGGTGTCTAGTTTACTCTGTGTGTTTGTGCTGGTTGGTCTGGTACTGTCTGTGTGTCTGGTTTTGTGGTTATCCACATCTTTAAGTTACTTAGTATCTGTCTTGTCTCGTATCTTAGTTCTTAGTCCTGTACCTTAGTTTATGTGTTAAGTGTTCACTCCCGGTCTGTGTGCTTCTGTGTTTTGCCTATGTCTATCTGAGTTCTGTTTTATCATTGCTTCAGTCTGTGTTCCTTGTTGTTCGTGAATGGTGTTTTGCATCTGCGTCTCTCTGTTCCCCCCTTCTGTCTCTCTGCCTCGTTACCCTGATCCCAGTCACATGTGTTGCTCCCGCCCTGCTCGTTAGTCCCTGTGTATAAATGTCTGGTGTTTCTGTTCATTCCCTGTCTGGTCATTGTCGCATGTAGATGCTCTGTCTTGTGATGTTCTGTTTGCCTGCCTGTTGTGTCACCCTGTTTTCTGTGGATTTGGATCACCTGTTTTGGATTTTGGATTCAGCCACTCTTTGTAAGTGTGCTCGCCTTTGGTTCGTTTATTAAAACCCTTGAACTGTACCTGTCAGCCTTGAGTCCTGCATTTGGGTCCACCAACCTGCCTCACCACACACATCCTGACAATTGCAGGGCAGGAAACTTTTTGATGTGACAATGTTCAAAGGGAAATAAGTATGCTAATTGATCTGCCACAATATGCAAGCCTCTATGCGTGCATACCTCTAAGATGCAGTGTGGAGGACTGAAAAGTTATGTGAAGAGATGTCTGTTGGCAAAAAAAAATCAGATAAAAAAAAAAGTGTGTTAATGTTGCTAATTCCTGCCAAAGGGAAATATGTCCTTTCATTATATTAAAAGGAACAGGTTCACTGTTTTGCTACATAAGGGACACATAATCACTGTTTACTATTACATTATAATAGAGCAACAAGGTAACTGAAAATATCTTGCTCTTAGTAGAGAGAATGAGAGCGCACGCAGTAGTACATTGACTAATGTTGAAAAGTTGGTTGGTCTAAAAAGAATATTGCACATCAGGAAAATGTGTGGTAATTGAGAGATAGATATATACACACACCTCCTTTTCCACAATGTTGCCAAAATTACTTTTAACAAGGCATCCAATATTAAGTCTTAAAATGCGCCTTTTTTTTAGCATTCACGCTCATAGTCTGTGTTTAATGTTTTTATATTTTTTTTAATATATTCTATCATAGCTTTTTTTTATATATGAAATATGTACCTGTAAAAGTTAAATGGCTGTTTAAGAAACTTATTCCTTCATTCATGAAAGATAAATGAATAAATTGATTGATTCAATAAAACTATTACATTTGAAAATGTAGTACGGTATTTGTCTTCATTGCTATATATATAATCATGCATATATTGCAGAATATTGAAAAATATGTCCTAGTTTCCCATATATGGGAATTTATTTAATATATTTCATTATATTAAAACAATATATTTTTGTTTCGGAAGGGAAGACAGATGATAATTATTGTAGGGACTTTTAAGTCAAAAAGTGAAACTTTCATATATTGTAGATTCATTACACAGAAAGTGAAATATGTCATGGCTGTTTTAATCTTGATGTCGGCTTACATCTCATGGAATTCAAAAATCAATATTTCAAAATATTACAATATTTAAATAAATGCCAACCTGAGAGGAGCCTTTAATCTCTCAGTCTGGTTCAGTACACACAACCACACACAACAGAAGGTAATTACTGAAAGGGCTGGCTGTTCAGAGTGCTGTATCAAAACATATTCATGGAGAGTTGACTAGAAGGTTGCAGTGTGGTGGGAAAAGGTGCACAACAGGGATAACCGCAGCCTTGAGGATTCTCAAGCAAAGCCGATTCAAGACCAGAACGCAGACGAGCTGAAGGCCGCTATCAAAGAAATGGTAATTCGCCCTCTAAAGCTATCGCTATTGGATTAGAGGCGAAGCAGGTTGAGTCAACACCTCACTGGCCCATACGGTACCACCAAGCACAAACCCACTTGCCCGGAGCCATGTAATGAGCTACCCAGTCCCCCGCAGCCCACGGCATTGGTGTCGGTGTCGGCACCGATGGCGTGACTTGGGAGGCAGCGGCAGCTAACCCATGCCTAACAGGCGGGGAACCGGAGCAGGACCAGCGCGAGCAGCGGCCGCTCCCTCCACCGTCTGGTAGGAGAGGGCACACTACACTTTCACAAAGGACAATGATTCAGCCAAAACACTCTACTTAGTAAGTCAGTGAGAAACTGGAGACATCTTGTAGGTGGAAATGGACAAAAGAGCACAGGCAAGACCAGGAGGCCGCCGTACAGATGTCGTCCACCGTCATCCCACTGTGCAATGCCACAGAGGAGGAGACGCCTCTCGTGGAGTGCACCCTGATGCTGTTCGGGGAAGAGTCACTGGCAGTGAAAAAGCCTTGCACACCAGTGAGACAGGCGCTACGCTGATAGGGGAAGCCCTTAGACTGTTCCCTACAGTGCACCAACAGGCGCTGGGAACAGCGCCAGGTGGCCACGTAGCAGAACACCGCACGCACTGGGCAAGTAGGTGGGATGTAGCTTCGTCCTCAGACCCATGGGGTGAGGAAAGAAGCCCAAGGGAGAAATCAACAGCTATCAAAAGGAGATGGTGAATGCAGTATTGGAGCACCCTGGATCCTGAGACACGAGCTGGGTGGAAGCCCCACTCATATGGCCGAGGACTCCCCCTGGACATAATGTTCGCCCCTCTGTTCAATACGTCAGGGATGTAATCCACTCTGATGGAGAGCAGGTGAGTGTAGACATGTGGCCCTGCCACAGACCGCCTACCAACTGAGAGAGGCAGGTCAATAGGCCTATACAAATTTCACATTTTGCAATGAATTTAAAATTGTTTTAGTAAGAACAGTATGAGTGATACTGACACCTACTACACTGAGCTCCTTAGGAGACAGGCCAAAATAAATATCAGCTGCTCTCTTAATTTAAGCATGCAGCTTCCTCTCCTAGTCCAAGGAGAAGACTTAATAATGTGATCTGTACCTGTGGTCTAGTCTTCTCCCCAATTATCTCTGCCCTCCTCCTACATTATCTGAACAAAGCACATGGCATATGGTATGAGACTTTATCAGCTGACCTGAGACTAATGTTTCTAATAGAGATGTCCAGAAACGCCTCTTCATTCATGGGTCTTTCTGACCCACACTGTCTGACCCAAACATGTTTTAATAAATGCTGCAACACACAGAAAAGTCACCACGTTAGCAGCGGGACAAAAGAAACACTTGTGGTCAGGTGTAGCGGGACAAAAGTAACACTTGTTACAGGAACTCCTGACATATAAACATGATTTATTTTTATATTGAAAAACTCTGACAGGGCAAACTTCAGGGTGTGTTAAAGCATTAAATAACCTGTAGATTAATCATTACTATGACACATGAAATGAGAGATACAACTTGTAATTCGAAAAAGAGTCCCACTTCAGAAATTTACTTTCCGTGCTCAAACAGTTTTCCGAGGACGAGGGGGGGGAACTGATGACAAAATCATGCTATATTTGGCAGCTCCATCAAGGGCTGCGTGCTGAAGGTGCTGTCACAGCTTGGACTGCAAATGCAGTCAGGGCTCTGAGTAAATCGCCTTGTTACTTTCGTCCCGAGCTGACAGTGCCATGGGAAGTTGCCATTAGGCTGGGGCTGCAATATCCACTGTTAGACTCCTTAAAGAGCTGGGACTCCACGACCAAGTTCTATGCTGCACCATAATCTAAAATCTACTCCCTAAATCAGAGGTTGCAGGGCTGCCTGTATTAATGTAATGCTATTGTGTAGAATAATTCATTTCAGCTGCAACCCCAGTGGAACAAGTGAGGATGAAATTCAAAATATTCAATCAAGTGGTGTGTATTGATAGTTTTCATTAACACTGATTGGGTAACCTTGAGTAAACACAAAGATAACCTGCTCGGAGATGCAACGTAAATTACCATGACAACAGAGCTCGGGTAAAACCTATTCACCTTTCATAAATATGAAAGTTACACCAGATGTCACTCCTGAAGTTACCTGGATAAACCAGTCACCCTGCTTCATAGGACAGGCATCTGGTATGAGAGTGAGTGTGTTTTGATTTATTTTGCCTTTTGGGATAATGGCTGAAGTGAACTGTATGATTGCTGTGTTTCGGTTTTCGTCTGTAAGCCTGTGGTTTTTCCAAACTTCATGCTCAGCATGGATCCCTGCCTTCTGCCCGATGTCAGCTGGGATTGGCTCCAGCCCCCCACGACCCTGTACGCAAGATAAGCGGTTGACGATAGATGGTTGGATGGTTGCTCAGCGTGGAGATGGTGGGCGTGACTTCCCTGGGTGGCACTCTTTCTCATCTCCCAAGTCACCTCAGCCTTAATATCCGACCAGCTTTCCAGTCCCCGCCAGATTGTTGTCATTTGTAGTATGCTCACACACCAACCTAGCAGTATACCAGTTATTAGAATTTCTGTTTGCTCTTGTTCTCTGTCTGTTAACCTGTCTGCACTCTAATTGGAATATCACTGTCTGCAGGAACTCCTGACCAGAATGCTCGCACCAAAAACCCATCTTGTCTCGATCTTGTGAACCCAATATCGTGTCTCGTCACACCCCTACTCTTGTAGGTTCTTGTGATTTTGGCTACAAAATAAAAGTTAAAGAAAGTTTTTTGCAGCAATGTTTTATTTTGAGTTGAATTCTTCAATTCTTCTTTTAAGTTTTGAAGGAGTTGGGCACCGGTTTGTTTTTTCCTTGTCCCGGTGATCAGCACATCTGGGTGATGTAAGTTTAATGTGCGTTAGCATGTTGGATGTTTCCATTCACATAACGTTACACTACAACAGTGGTGCAACGCCGACGCACAGACAAGGTCCTCATACACAACTCTCTCCGTTGCTGTTGTAACATTCACTGGCTAGGAACCCGCAGGCGGGTCTTCCAGCTCTGCTGTTTCATTAGTGCTCGCCCCAGTGCTCGCGCCACTGTCCTCGGCCTCAACCGCCACTACAAGCTACTTCCTGCTCACGGCTTCACCTCCTCCTCTCTCCTGCTCACTCTGTCCCTCGGCCCTGTCATGGTTGCTTTTCCCCTCTGCTTCGATGTCACACACCTCCTCCTCTGCCTAGCAGTGGCCATGGCTATCCTTTACTCTGCCAAATACCTGTACTGCACAATGTCAGGTACTGCTGCTCATGTTAAAGCTAAAGCTGTTATAGCAAACATTTTGGTTATTTTTGCACATTTAGTTTCAAGATATTTTTATTTTTTTGGCCTGCAATACAAGAAACAGATAGCAGAGGGGGAGAGAGTGTGGGCTAGTAAGAGATGTGATTGGGCCAGCCCAGCATCAGTATAGAAAACGAACCAACGGGCCACAGTCCGTGCTTTATGGGCCGACTGTTGGCCCGTTTATTTACAGTTAAGTAAATAGTTGAAGTTATATTGACAATCTTAAATTATCAATTGACTATGTTCTGGCTCACTATCTAATGGTTTAAAAAACAACTGGCTTGATGGTAAACGTACTTACTGACCCCTGATGTACATGTTTCAGCTTATATTTTGAAGGGCTTATTGAGGGGACGTGACATCACATAGAAGCAATACCCCTAAGTGGCTCACTACACATGTGGATCACAGTCACACTCTCTGAGGTAAACCAGTGTCAGAAAGATTTGCAGACAAATGCAAAGGGATCTGCAAATGCACTGTGATCTGCAAACACAGATTCGACACTTGAATGCTGAACTTTACACAGAATTAGAACAGTGGTTTGAAAATACATGTTAGACTGTGTGTATTTGCAAATTGTGTAGAGTGCATTTGTAGAAATTGGTAAAACAGCAAAACAGTAGTGCCAAAATTCTTAAAACAATCTACAAACAGAATATGACCCTCATGCACAGACAAATCAATTTGCATTCATTTAAATTTTGGTTTTCAAGTACAAGATACAGATTTCTATTTGAGAATCATGATGTGTTTATTTGTGGATTATGAATCTATTTGTAGATCATTTTGTCTGCAAATTGTAATGTGTATTTGTGAATCCTAGTCTGTGCATTTACAATGACTATGACATATATTTACCCCCATAGAGGTGTCCTCAAGTTTCCTCCATATTAAATCTGTGTCTAGTAGCTTCGCCAGATGTCCAGGTTTCAGAAGTGCGACTGGTGAGTAAACTATTATGGTAACCATTACCTACCACTTTATCTAATTCACTATATTGTCACCCCTTATCACCTGCATATGACTTCATATGAAACAATGACTTACCATTAATGTAGGATAATAGGAACTTGGCCAGAAGATAATCGTTAGCAACTCTGAACATTGAGGCATGTCTGAATAGCTTGGCCTGTTAATGGCAGCCTGAAGAATTGGCCCTGACAGGCAGGCAGGCTGGCGTCAAGGTTGGCAGAGAGACACCGAGAGAGAGAGGGAAAGGGCGAGTGAGTAAGAGAGAAGTTGGCATGAAAAGAAAGGATCTGAGCCAGGTCTTGCTGCTTAAATGGAGAGCCAACAGCAGAGAGGGGCTTAGCTGTCCGGACCATTAAAACAGCCCAACACTGTTTTCTGTGTTGTGTGTCTGTGTGATCAACACACTTTTATTTCCCTTTCTACATCTAGTTCAATAAATGTTCCCCTGCACAGAGATAATCAGGGCAATGTTGCAGCAGCCCTTTCCTGCTAGAACTGTGTGGCTTTGAATACAGATCTGCTCAGACATCAGAACACAGACGTTTAACAAAACTTTACCAGAACTTTAACAGAACTTTAACAAAATCAGATCTGTCACACATATTGTAACTTTCAACATACACCAAGGACAACAGCCCCAATTTCAATTCAATTCAATTCAATTTCAATTTTATTTATATAGCGCCAAATCACAACAACAGTTATCTCACAGCGCTTTTCATAAAAGAGCAGGTCTAGACCGTACTCTGTGATGATATTTACAGAAGCCCAACAGTTCCCACCAAGAGCAGCACTAGGAGACAGAGGCAAGGAAAAACTTCCTTTAAGAGGCAGAAACCTCGAGCAGAACCATGACTCAGGGTGAGCAGCCATCTGCCTCGACTGGTTGGGGTGAGAGAGAGAGAGAGAGAGAGAGAGGGAGGCAGCCTACACAATATACACACACAGAGGTACAGACAGTAAAGGTGATGTTGCTATAGACTAAATGAAAAATGGTACAGATATTTATAGTAGTGTCAATGGCAACAGTCGCAATGCTAATGATTACAACAATAACAATAAGACTAGCAACAATAGTCGTTGCAGCAGAGGGTGTCGAGCAGGAACACGGGGGCAGCAGGTGACCCACAGCCACAGATCCAGACTCCACAGCTCCAGAGCCAGAAACACCTACAGGAAGTGATAGGAGGAGAGAGGAGAGGGACGAGAAAGCACAAGACTACCGGAAAGGGGAGAAGTTGTGTTAGTAACATGCAATAATGGGATGAGGTTGCATACAGAGGGAGAGAAAGTAGAGGAGAGAGGAGCTCAGTGCATCATAGGAAATCCCCCGGCAGTCTAGGCCTATAGCAGCATAACTAAGGGATGGTTCAGGACTCACCTGAGCCAGCCCTAACTATAAGCTTTATCAAAGTGGAAAGTCTTAAGCCTACTCTTAAATGTGGAGATGGTGTCTGCCTCCTGAACCCAAACTGGAACCTGGTTCCACAGGAGAGGAGCTTGATAGCTGAACGCTCTGGCTCCTAGTCTAGAGTAACGAAGAGAATTGGTTGCAGTGATTTCCAACTTGGGTGTGAAAGACTAAGAACAAGGCTTTCAAATGAGTTATAGTTTAGTTTAGGTTTAGAGCTGATTAGTAAGCTAGAGTCGAAGATAGCTGCAACTCCACCTCCTCGACCTGTGCCTTGAGGAATATGAGTATTAATATGACTGGGAGGGGTGGATTCATTTAGGCTAACATATTCTCCATCACCCAGCCAGGTTTCAGTAAGACAAAATAAATCAATATCATAATCTGATATTAGTTCATTTACTAGTACACCTTTAGAAGAGAGAGATCTGATGTTTAAGAGTCCACATTGAATTCTCAAATCCTTTAGCACTTGTGGTTTTAATTTTTATGAGGTTTTTATGCACAGCTCCTCTTCTGTTTACCTTTTTAAATAATTTCGATGGTCGGGGGACAGACACCGTCACTATAGGGTTTTCACTAAGTAACTCCTGAAATGGAGGAGCAGAGAAGTGTGTTAGACTGCGACTCTGCGTAGGGTTTTGGGTGGGTAACTGCTGAAAAAGAAGGGCAGAGAAGTGTGTTAGACTGCGACTCTGCCTCCTGGTCTCAACTCTGGGTTGTCATGGATTTGGTCCACTAATAAACTTGGCCAGATTTCTAGAAATGAGAGCTGCTCCTTCCCAAGTGGGATGGATGCCGTCTCTCCGGATCAGACCAGGTCTTCCCCAGAAAGTCTGCCAATGATCTACAAAGCCCACATCGTTTGCTGGACACCACCTCGACAACTAGCGGCGGAATGACGACATGCGGCTATACATGTCATCACTGGTCAGATTTGGCAGGGGTCCAGAGAAAACTACGGTGTCCGACAATGTTTTTGCATATGTACACACCGACTCAACATTAATCTTAGTGACCTCCGATTGGCGTAACCGGGAGTCATTACCGCCGACGTGAATAACAATCTTACTGTGTTTAAGTTTATCCTTAGCCAGCAGTTTCTTTTTTTTGAACTTACTTTTTTTTATTTATTTCACATGAAATGACAAGCATACATTAGGGAACGCACATTAGGAGATGCTCTGACAGTTTCACTTCTAACCTATGATCATGCCCTCGCCTTCTATCCCCAAACATTCCTACCTCCGTCTTAAAAGGAGAGAACCTGAGTAACCTGTAGCAATAAGTACATACCTTCACTGTCAAGTGTAGTGCAGTAAGTATAAATTACAATTAAGTTGAGGAAAGAAAAATAAAATAAAATAAATAACCAATAAAAGAGGTAACTAGAGTTCTGACATTGTCTGTATTACTGGTAACCATCTTTGATCAAACCTGTCTGACTTGAGCTGCAACCTCGCTGTGATTTTCTCCATGATGAACACACTTTTTACCCTTTCTCTCCATTCAGTTATACTGGGAGGCTGTGGCTTCAACCAAGAGGCTGTGATTGTTACCAATCAATACCCAAAACATGTTCTATTTCCTTTTGAATATTCTTCCAATAATCTAAAATTTTAGGGCAATCCCTCCAACATCTCTCCGAAGTATTACTATACTTTGATGTAATAGATGGAGTGTGAAAATACCTCATTTTGATCTTCCAATCAAACTCCCACCACGTCGGTTTGCTAGTTACCTTATGTCCTACTTTCAGGGCCGGCCCTGGGCATAGGCGGAATAGGCAAATGCTAAGGGCGCCGCCCACCCCTTGGGGCGTTCGTGCGCCCAAATTATTTTTTTTATTATTTTTTTTATTACTAATACAACTAAAATATTATGGATTAAAAAAAGCGATCGTGAATCCCGGGGGAATCCTGAATCCCCGATCCCCCCGGTCCGACTGAGTGACGCATCAATCTCCATCGCCCCCGCCCTGCTGAAAAAAACCCCATCCGTTACCTGTGTGTGATTGTGAGTGACGGATGGCCGAATTCACTGACACTGACAAGTTGTCATTATGTCAAAAAGACCGAAACCATCTGGTGCCCAGGGAAGAAAAAAAAGAAGAGAAGAGGAAGAAAAACGCGAAAAAGACAGAGATAGGTAATGATGTGTGATCAGTTTATCTGTGTTGCATTAAGTTAGTTCGACGGTCACGATGTCTGTAACGTTCGCTAATTTGAATTGAAACTTGTATTAGAAATGCAAAACTTTCCACATCTGCCATCAAAAATTATGACAAACACTGAGCTCCTGACTTTCCTGCACGAGAAGAAGCTGATGGAAATTTTCCCCAATATGTGGGTCGCTCTGAGAATCTCTGCCACTCTACCTGTGACAGTCGCTGCTGCTGAAAGGAGCTTCTCTCTCAAACTGATTTAAAAACTACCTGAGATCTACAATGGCTCAAGAATAGAATAGTTATTTATTTTTTGTGCAATGGTCTTATTTATAATTTTTGGAATGTTACATATGGTGTAAGAAAGGCAAGGAAAGCAAGGTTTCTGTAATATAGTTTTTTCTGCAATAACATAATATAATATATACATATTTATATTGTATCTATAATACGTTGTGTGTTTGTGTTTCCAAAATATTTTCAAAATAAAGAAAAACAAGACAAACCTGTGCAGTTTGTTTCTGTGTAAGTTTATGAACAAAAATCCAGGGGCATCAGGTGAAATCTTGCCTAGGGCAGCAAATTGGCCAGGGCCGGCCCTGCCTACTTTGAATGTTTCTTCCCATTGTTCATCTGTTATTATAATATATATAACACTTATGTTGTATTTTTTCTGGAACATGTGGGTTACTGTATTTTTTTGGGCTTGCTAAAGTGCTTAATTCACATGTAATCCAAGTTAAGATGTAAGAGTTACTGAAGTGGCAAATGTCTATCGGTTGAAGATGCAATAGGATTTATCAGTTAATTATCCTCGCTCTGTTCAGATGTGTCCAGGTAATTTAACAGTTAAGCTGTGTTTTCCTTGAAATGTTTTAAGCATGGTTTACTACATAAGATAAGCTCACTAATCATTTTGTTAATGTTAGAGATTTAGTGACTAATAAAGTATCCTGTTGAACTACGGGTAATCACGCGAGAAGGGAGATCAGGGGGAACTGAGGGAAGAGTTGCAGGAGCACGAAAGCTAGTCGGCAGCTAACAGTGCTTTTACGGCACTTAACGTTTTAAGTTGGACTATTCATGGTATCGGACACTGCTCTCGCCGTCGTAGGAGTTTGTGACTGTGGGGCTACCACTGGAGGTGTGTGTATTTGCACTGGGAAGTGAGCTTAGACCTGTTAGTTTCTATGGCTAAGTTAGCTCGTGGCTTCGCGGGACTGTGACACCGTCGTGGGAGGGACCGCAGACACACCGTTCGCCTGCTGGACGAGAGAAGACCACATCGGAACGCTGGTGTTTTCCTCCACGGAGGGCTGTGTTGCTGGTGGTGACGGACGAACGAAGCTGTGTAACCCTCGCTGTGCTGCTGCGGACAACGTCGCCCCGGTAGGATCTGGGGTTTCCACTCCACTCAAGGAGGTACTGTTGCTTTCTTCACTCTATGAGCTCCAACTAAGCGCGCCAACGAACTTATGCAGGCCTGCTAAAAGAACAAACCTTAAAAAAAGAGTGCACTCAGGTTATAAAAGACTAATCCCTATATTCCCCGGGTCTTTTGAGATTGTTTATTTTTCACTCCATTATTTGTTGTTAAAATGTTATGTGATTCTTGCATAATACAAAGAAGGAAACTGAGCTATTGCGTCCTTGATGTCTGTCTCATCACATGCTCTGTATCTGAGTAGATCAGTATTTTCTGTGGTAATAAGAGGTTAAAGTCAGGATTATCCCTCCAGCCTCTCATTGGTAGTAGAGAGAGTGAGAATCATAGCGTTCCTAGACAGGTTTATTATACAATGGGATGTCTCTTTCACCATTTTACCAAACATTAGGGTTAAGGGGGCTCAACACTTTATATGTTGCTTTATAGTGTACTTGCCTCATCACGAGCCGATGGTGAAAAGGGTTACATTTTTGGGGGCTCGTCCGGGATGTTTTTTTTGCAAATTTGTGATATCCTGTGGGGTTGTGTGCAGATTTAAACCTGGTTTTGCCGTCTCATACTGAATATTTGACTGGTCTGTACTGTTAGCAGTTTTCCTATTTTACCTATTTCAAGTACACAAAATGGATGTTGCTGAGATTGAAGCCTGGTGTAAAAGGAAGCAAATAGCTCGGGAAAATGTGGTAGTGATAAGTAATTTTGATCCAAATGTCACAGATGATATTCTGCTTCACGCTTTGAGTCTTGTTAAAGCTTTTGGAACTGCTAAGATAATTGATCGCTGTCTAGATGTAGCTTCCAAAACACAGTTTGTGTTGATTCAGTCATCCAGTGATCTTACTAAGCAGACTATACCTGACCGTGTTGGGCTCCCTGGAGAGGCTGGCCCGTGGCCTGTTCATGTGCTCCCTGCTCTTGCAGAGGGTGAAGATTTTGAAGCCAAGCTGTTGTCCTTTCTGAGGCATGAAGGAAAGACTATTACTGATGTTAAAGGCTTACTCAACCCTGATCACTGCCATAAGTTCCCTGGTGGACAAATGTAACACTGCACCTGCTGATACTAAAAGTTACAGAAAGCTCCGCATGTTTTCTGGTGTGAGACCCACCCCCAGTGGGGAAGAAGAGTATGACGCTTGGGCAGAGCAGACAATGCATTTATTGGAAGAATGGCAATGCAATGACAATGTGAAAAAACAAAGGATAGTGGAAAGCCTTAAAGGGCCAGCTGCTGACATAGTGAGGTTTCTAAGAGCCCAGAACCCTTCTGCTACTTCATATGACTACATGCAAGCTTTGGAGACAGCGTTTGGAACAACTGAGAGTTCATCCGATCTTCTTATTAGATTCCGACACACACTCCAATGTGAAGGTGAGAGGCTGTCTACCTATTTGATGAGGCTAGATAAACTGCTACACTGTGTGTTCAGGAAAGGAGGGGTGCAGCTGTCAGAAATGAATCAACTTCGCATCGAGCAGATTGTGAGAGGTGCATTGCCACAAGACATGATTGCCCTTCGCATTCGCATGACACATAAGCTGCGTGAACCACCTTCCTTCAGTGACTTATTGAGAGAGGTCAGAGAGGAAGAGGACATGCTTCAAAGTAGGAATGATGTCAAAAGCCAAGTGATGTCAAAGACTGTTACTCCTGTTCCCAGGCCCACTCCTGAAATTAAAGTCGATCCTGAAGTGGAACAACTGAAAAGAGACATCACTGTCATGAAAGCAGAAATGATGAGTCTTAAAGCTGCTACAATAACCTCCAAGCCAGACACCCAAGGTCCACAACTTGAAGTCCCTGCCAAGGCCAAACCCAGGAGGAATGACACTCTGCAGAGAGCTGGCAATGAGGAAGATAGACCTGGGATATTTTGCTATAGATGTGGGGAGGATGGACATTTCAAAAGAGAGTGTGATGGTGAAGAAAATCTTAAGAGGGTCAGCAAGCGCCTCATCAAACTGACAAAGAAATCGGGAAACTACCACGGGAACCAGTAAAGGAACGGTCTGGCTTCCCTGTGGTTAAAACACGTTCCACCAAGTGCATCAAACCAGACGAGAAAGTGGAAGACACTATACCTGAGGGCTTAGTGGGACCAAGCTCTGCTGTACCAGTGCATATTGAAGGCATTTATGCTAAAGCCGTGCTCGATACTGGTTCTCAAGTGACTTTGCTGTACAGATCCTTCTACAACAGGTACTTGACACACCTGCCATTGACACCTATCAGTGCCTTGCAGATATGGGGCCTCAGTCCTGCTGATTACCCTTATGATGGCTATTTGTCACTTAAGCTGGAGTTTTTGGAAGCTGACGTTGGCGTGACGGAGACTATTGATGCCCTTGTGTTGGTGTGTCCTGACCCAGTTGTGAGTGGTGGAGCTTCTATACTTGTTGGCACAAACACACCGACTGTGAGACGACTACTTAAGAGCTGTAAAGAGAGAGTGGGAGAAAATTTTGTCAGCAGCATGCACATTCATCCTGCTTTCAAAAGGGCTTTTGAACAGCTGTCAGAAGGCCTACTTGATGATGACCACAAGAGAGGAACTGTGTGGTTTACACAAAATAAACCTGTTACTGTGCGCCCGGGGGGGGTAGCCCGAGTGACAGGTGTACCAAAGTTTCAAGGGATTCCAAGTGCTCAAGCCATTCTGGTGGACTCACCTGATGAACCCGCTGATGACCCAAGGTTTCCGGGAGAGCTTTTGGTCAGACCAGAGTTGCAGGCTCCCACTGTTGTGATGTCTAAGAAAATCACTGTGCTGGTCAGGAATGTATCGAAAAAGGAGATCACATTGACCAGAGGAATGCCGGTTGCTCACCTGTTTCCAGTAGACGTGGTGTCATCGTCCTCTGTAAGCCAAGAGTCTAACACCGAGTCAGCGGGAAAATTGACCCCGTCCTCCTTTAACTTTGGAGGTTCGCCAGTCCCCCAAGAATGGAAGGAAAGATTGGTGGGCAAAATGATGGAACGACAGGAGGTTTTCTCTACCCATGAGTTTGATGTTGGTTGCTGTAAAAGTGCACATCACACTATCAAAACCACTGAGGACAAACCTTTTCGAGAGAGATCTCGCCGTCTGCCGCCTGCTGACTTAGAGGCATTGAGACAACATTTGTCACAGCTTAAAGATGCTGGGATCATCACTGAATCAAGAAGTCCATATGCCTCACCTATAGTGGTGGTGAGAAAGAAGACTGGCAAGATAAGGATGTGTGTGGACTTTAGGACACTAAACCAACGCACTGTTCCTGATCAGTACACAGTACCAAGGATTGAAGATGCACTGGCCTGTCTCAATGGAAGCAAGTGGTTTAGTGTGCTAGACCTCCGCAGTGGATATTACGAAGTGTCTATGAGGGACTCAGATAAAGAAAAGACAGCCTTCATCTGCCCAGTTGGTTTCTACCAATTTGAAAGGATGCCGCAAGGAGTGTCAGGGGCTCCAGCAACCTTTCAGCGGATCATGGAACAAACAGTTGGGGATATGAACTTGCTTGAAGTCCTGGTCTATCTGGATGATCTCATTGTGTTTGTGTTTGGAGCGACACTCGAAGAGCATGAGGCAAGGTTGTTAAAGGTGCTTGACCGATTGAAGGATGAAGGTCTTAAGCTGTCGCTGGATAAATGCCAGTTTTGTCAACCGTCAGTGACTTACGTGGGGCATATCATATCTCAAGATGGAGTGTCAACCGATCCAGAGAAGACTGAAGCAGTAACCACGTGGCCCAGACCAAACACTGTGACTGCTTTGCGGTCATTTCTTGGATTCTGCGGGTACTATAGACGCTTCGTGAAAGATTACTCCAAAGTTGCCTATCCATTGAACCAACTGTTGTCCGGCTACCCACCAACTGCCAAGAAATCCAAGGGAAAACAGGATGACCTCTACCTGAACCCGTCAGAGCCTTTTGGTTGTAGGTGGGATGACAAGTGTGAAGCCGCCTTGGTAGAGCTGAAGCAGAGGCTTACTCAAGCTCCGGTGTTAGCTTTTGCGAACCCACAGCTTCCCTATGTATTACACGTTGACGCTAGCCAAGAAGGGCTAGGTGGCGTGTTGTACCAAGATCAAGGTGAAGGGTTAAGACCCGTCGCTTTCGTCAGTAGAAGCCTAACCCCGTCTGAGCGACATTACCCTGTATGGGGGGGGGGACCGATAACAACCAGTTGACTTATGTGTTGACGTCGGCCAAGTTAGATGCCACAGGTCATCGCTGGCTTGCCGCCTTGTCTACATATGACTTCAGCCTCAAGTACAGATCGGGGGTTCAAAACATTGATGCAGATGCTCTTTCTCGTCAGCCACACCCGACACTCACTCAAGTACCGGAGTGGAAAGACATATCTGAAGCCGGTGTGAGAGCCATGTGCCAGACGGCTGAAGGAAATAAACGTAGAAAGCCATCTCCTGGTAGGGCAATTGACCAATTGGGACCTTCTTCACTTGCTGTCCCTCAAGCCTACTGTAATATGTCTACCTTGAGTGTAAAGACAATGCCCATCTTGAGTCCTACTGAGCTGTCAGATGCCCAACGTGAATGCCCTGGCATTGGCGAGATATGGTCAGCTCTAGTCAACCAAAGGAGACAAAGGAGATTTGACACAGGTTGACAAGACAAAGCATCCAACCTGCCCTCTGTTACTAAGAGAGTGGGATCGGTTGACGATACGACAAGGGGTCATGTATCGAGTCACAAGTCCCCCTGACAAACCCCATCGCTCTCAGCTAGTCTTGCCAGAGAAGTATAGGAAGATGGTAATGACATCCCTGCATGATGACTGTGGTCATTTAGGCTCTGAAAAAACATACGGCCTCATTAAAGGCAGATTCTACTGGCCACGGATGAAGTCGGATGTGGAAGAATACTGCAAGTGCTGCATGCGCTGCATAAAGAGAAAGACTCTACCCAAGAAAGCTGCTCCATTGTCTCATTTATAAAGTGATGGACCACTGGACCTTGTTTGCATGGACTTTTTGTCTATTGAACCTGACTCAAGCAATACAGGAAATGTCCTGGTTATTACTGATCACTATACACGCTACGCCCAAGCTTTTCCAACGAAAGACCAAAAAGCCTCTACGGTGGCAAAGGTGTTGATGGAGAAATACTTCGTCCATTACGGATTGCCAAAGAGGATGCACAGCGATCAAGGGAGAGATTTTGAAAGCAGGCTTATACACGAGGTACTTAGCACACTTGGGATTGAAAAATCAAGGACAACGCCATATCACCCTCAAGGGGATCCCCAGCCTGAGAGGTTTAACAGGACTCTGTTAAACATGCTCGGAACTCTGGAGCCAAGCAGGAAGAGAAAATGGAGTCAGCACATTGTACACCTTGTCCACGCCTACAACTGCACTTCAAATGAAGCCACTGGGTTTTCGCCTTATTACCTCATGTTTGGGCGGGAGGCGAGGCTCCCAGTGGATTTGTGTTTTGGGACGTCCAGCGACGACACACGGCAGGAAACTTACCTCAAGTATGTAACTGAGATGAGGAGGGAGTTGAAAGCTGCATACGACCTTGCGGAGTCCATTGCTGCCAAGCAGAACGAAGGCAACAAACGGCGGTATGATCAGAAGATCCGATTCTCACAGCTGTTACCTGGAGACAGAGTCTTGATAAGGAACTTAGGATTGCATGGGAAGCATAAGTTAGCGGACCGCTGGGCTTCAAATCCTTATGTGGTGGACAGTCAGATGCCAAATTTACCAGTGTTCCGGTTGAAACCAGAAGACTGAAATGGACCTGTCAAAATTCTCCACCGAAATCACATTCTACCTCTTGGAAAAACTGTATGCCTGGAGCCGACGCCTGCTGTTCACCCTGTACCGGGTATGAGAGTCCTTCGAAAGAGACTTCGTAAACTTCGTAACAGTGTGTCAGAGAGAGACAAGGCTTCAGCAGAGACACCAGAGAACAATGATAAAGGGGAAGTGAAATCAGACCATTGCCACGGAAAAGAGTACACAGATTCTGAGGATGAGGAAAGTGGGATGTGCTATGACCTGCTCACCCTCCCAGGACTGGAGTTGATGAAGAAATGTCGGAACCATTCAGCTTGGATCTGGATATTGTATGGGATGAAGTGACTGAACAACCAGAGGTGACAGAGCAAGAAGTACTGCAAGATGTTGCGGAGGAAACAGAAACAGGCAAAGGAGGGAATCAACCAGATTCTGCTGAAATGACAAGGGACACAGTGACGCACGAGACAGGTGAAACACAAGAAAACACTCAAAGACATGAAACTGATGAGTCTCAAATGTTACAAGACTGTACAAAGACTGAGACTGAGATCAGAAGAACTCAGAGAGTCAGAAGAGCCCCATCAATATTAACATATGACACACCAGGACATCCAAGTGTTATAGCAGCTCCTATAGTGAGATATGTCTCTTGCCTTTATAAGTGGATAGGTGCCCCTGTTATCTCCTAAGTGTATGTTACCTAAAGTTATACCCACTGATATCGTTGTTTATTTCAAAAGCACCAAGTCATGAGGGCATGTCTTATATTGGTGGGGGGAGAGTGTAATGACCTGAAGAATGTGTCACTTATGTTGTATTTTTTCTGGAACATGTGGGTTACTGTATTTTTTTGGGCTTGCTAAAGTGCTTAATTCATATGTAATCCAAGTTAAGATGTAAGAGTTACTGAAGTGGCAAATGTCTATCGGTTGAAGATGCAATAGGATTTATCAGTTAATTATCCTCGCTCTGTTCAGATGTGTCCAGGTAATTTAACAGTTAAGTTGTGTTTTCCTTGAAATGTTTTAAGCATGGTTTACTACATAAGATAAGCTCACTAATCATTTTGTTAATGTTAGAGATTTAGTGACTAATAAAGTATCCTGTTGAAGGACTGTGTTGCTGGTGGTGACGGACTAACGAAGCTGTGTAACCCTCGCTGTGCTGCTGCGGACAACGTCGCCCCGGTAGGATCTGGGGTTTCCACTCCACTCAAGGAGGTACTGTTGCTTTCTTCACTCTATGAGCTCCAACTAAGCGCGCCAACGAACTTATGCAGGCCTGCTAAAAGAACAAACCTTAAAAAAAGAGTGCACTCAGGTTATAAAAGACTAATCCCTATATTCCCCGGGTCTTTTGAGATTGTTTATTTTTCACTCCATTATTTGTTGTTAAAATGTTATGTGATTCTTGCATAATACAAAGAAGGAAACTGAGCTATTGCGTCCTTGATGTCTGTCTCATCACATGCTCTGTATCTGAGTAGATCAGTATTTTCTGTGGTAATAAGAGGTTAAAGTCAGGATTATCCCTCCAGCCTCTCATTGGTAGTAGGGAGAGTGAGAATCATAGCGTTCCTAGACAGGTTTATTATACAATGGGATGTCTCTTTCACCATTTTACCAAACATTAGGATTAAGGGGGCTCAACACTTTATATGTTGCTTTATAGTGTACTTGCCTCATCACGAGCCGATGGTGAAAAGGGTTACATTTGCTTCCAATTCCCATTTTTCCTTGACATCCAAATTGTTACTGTTAGATTCCAATTGTAGTACCTTATACAGTTTTGATATAATCCCTTTCTTTGTTTCTACCTCTGTATACGCCATTAACAAATCTTCTAATTTCGATGGGGTGTTAGAGATCTTCTCCCACTCCTTATGTGTCTTAAGGTAATGTCGTAGTTGTAGAAACTTATATAAAATAAAAATATAAAAATCATGGGCTGGTAAATTAAATTCTTGTATTAACTGTTGAAATGCTTCAAGGTCCCCTAAACATTTGTGCAATATATTTTAACCCCTGTTGTGTCCATCTATTATATCCTGCATCCATCATGATGGCAAACAATCTGGGTTTGTCGAGATTCAAGTGGCACTACAAATGGTGTTTGACAGTTTCAATTTCTTACGTACCACTGACCATATTCTCATTGTCCCCCTGATCCAGACATTGCCCACCTTCAGCCTCTTTAGTGTTACCTCACTCAAAAATGGAAGCGACTCTATAGGTACATTTATAGAGTTTTGTTCCATTCCCACCCACAATATATCTGCATTATTAGTAATCCACATAATAATAGCCCTGAGTTGAGCAGCCCAATAGTAATTTTTTAAATTGGGTAAATTTAACCCTCCCTTCTCTTTTGGACAAAGAAGTGTCTAATATTTAATTCTAGCCCTTTTCTTTTTCCAAATAAATTGGGAAATAATCTTGTCTAACATCTTAAAGGTAGAGTTAGAGACCATAATAGGCAATGACTGGAACAAAAACAACAGTCTTGGTAGTACATTCATTCTCACTGTTTCTATCCTCCTCATCAGAGTCAAAGGCAAAATCTCCCACCTGGTCAAGTCTTTTTTAATTTCAGTTATCAATTTCCCATAGTTCGCTTCAAATAGCTGTGACGTAGCAGAGGTAATAGTAATACCCAGATATCTGAACCCTATATTAGTCCATTTGAACTTGAATTTCCCCTTTAAATCAGCTGGACATTGAGAGCATCGTAGCTACGGATTTAGCATCATTGGTCAGATATCCCGAGATCTCCCCATACTCGTTCAGGTTATTCACCAGGGCTATTAATGAGGTGGAAGGTGCATTTATATATGTTAATATATCGTCTGCGAATAGTGATATTTTGTGTTCTGTCCCCCCCTCATCCCTTATTCCCTTTATATCTTTATTCTGTCTTATTGACTCAGCCAGTGGTTCTATACTTGCAGCAAACAGTAAAGGGCTCATACAGTCTCCCTGTCTGACTCCTCTTTTGAGTAGGAAAAAGTCTGGGCAACACCCATTGACTCTAATCCGTGATTTGGGGTTTTTGTATACCATTTTCACCCAGTCTATGAAGGTTGTGTGAAACCCGAAATTTGCTATTGTTTTGTAAAGGAAGCTCCACTTTACTCTATCAAATGCTTTTTGTGCATCTAAGCTGAGCAGCATGGCAGGCTGGGATCTTTTTGTGGCACATAAGATAAGATTTAATGTCCTCCTGATATTGTTAGCACCTTGCCTTCCAGGAATAAAGCCTGTCTGATCTGGTTTGATCAATTTAGTTATATGCCTCTGCATTCTCCATGCCATTATGTTTGTTAATATTTTCAAATCATTGCAGAGCAAGCTGATAGGTCTATATCCTTCACATGAAGTTGGATCTTTGCCCTCCTTATGTAAGACCGAAATGATGGCTTCTGACCAAGTCTTTGGCGAGTCACCTGATGCCAGAGCGTAATTAAAGACTCTATGTAGTACTGGTGTGATCTCCCTTGTAAAAACTTTATAGAATTCCCCATGAAACCCATCTGTACCCGGGGATTTATTATTTTTGAGATTTTTTATAGTATCTGATATTTCCTGTATTGTAATTGGCTGTATCATTTCAGATGCCTATTCTGCCGATAGTGATGGTAGATTAAATTTTTTAAGAAACGCTTGAGTCTTGTTTTCCATGGAGTCCAGCTCAAAGTCGTTATATAAGTCTTTATAATATTCTGCAAAAGCTTCCGCTATCTCAGTCGGCTTTATCACAGGTTGTTTGGAACGGGGATGTTCTATTTTTGAAATAATCCTACTTGTTTGAGCCTTTCGAAATTGGAATGCTAGAAGACAACTTGCTCTATTCCCCATCTCATAATAGCTTTGATTTGTAAAGCGTAGAGCTCCTTCTGCCTTGAATGTTAATAATTTATCTAATCTGTGTCTGTTTTCTTTCAGTTCTTGGAGTATGGACTTCCTTTTGTGTTCTACTTCTAGATCTCTGATTTTACTCTCTAGCGCCCTCTGCTGTTTTAGACGATCCTTTCTTAGTCTAGAGGTTACTTCTATGATTTTTCCCCTTATCACTGCATTGCCCCCATCCCATAGAGTCGCTGGTGATACCTCGCCATTATCATTTATTTCTAGATATTCCTTTAGATTTTCTCTTATCTCCTTTACTACCTTCTCATCTGATAGGATTGACATATTCATTCTCCAATATTTAAAAAAAGATTCTTTATCTATTGCTACAGTTAGAGTAATGGGAGCGTGGTCACTTATAGTTATTGTCTCTATACCACATTCCACAACTTTGTGTAGATGTTGCTGTGATACACAAAATAATCTATCCTAGAGTAACTATCGTGTGGGTTTGAATAAAAAGTAAAATCCTTCCCTCTATGATTATTGTTTCTCCATGGATCAATAAGACCTAACTCCTCAATGACGTTATTCAATACTCTGTTTTTTCTAGAAGTTGGTCCCTGTTCTGGTGGTAGCCTGTCTAATTTACCATTTTGTACCGTGTTGAAGTCCCCCCCATCAGTACCATCCCCTTTGCATTGCTTGAAATAACATTGGCTATGTTTTTAAAGATTGCTTCATTTTCCTCATTCGGGGCATATATGTTGAGTATTGACATAGTCACATCTCCTATGGAGCCAACAACCATTACATATCTTCCCATATTATCCTTTATCACTGATTCAACAGAAAATGGTAGGGACTTATGGATTAATATAGCTACGCCCCTTTTCTTGCCATATGAAGCATGGAATAATTGATTAACCCATTCTCTTCTTAGATTTTTATATTCATCCTCCAGCAGATGAGTTTCTTGTAGTAGAGCAATTGAACAATGTAATTTTTTTAGCTGGTTCAATATCTTCCTCCTCTTGATGGGATGATTCAAACCGTGGACATTGTAAGACACAAGCTTCAGCCTGTCCATATCAGGTTCAGTTCAAGACCGCAACCATCAACTCCATACCTCTCATTAAAAAATTTTAAAAATCAACAGTGCACAAAACTGCACAGTGAAAAAGGTCAACATTAAGCATCTCCTTCAGAACTATTATACAGTAACAAAAAAGTGTGGCTTCCAACAGTCCCATCCTCAGACAGATGTGGCGTATTCTCTCTGAGAAAATAGCACTAAGTGCACTGCAACTTCAAAGGTGTTGTGTAAAGTTGCTACTTGCCCTAACTGAGCATTAATTTTGCTCTCCCTAACCAATATTCATGTGTATTTATCTAGATAGTAATACCTTTAACAAGCTCTGTAAATTTTCAATGTGCATCATATTGAGCAGATATTTAGATGTGTCTATTTATGCGTTTCTATTCTTTCCTCAGTCCTTACCACAATCCTCATATTCCTGAGGTCACTGGATGATTGCTTATAAATCCGACTCTGTGGTTTGTGGCTGCCTCTTCTCTCTCCTCTGCCCTGTCACTGTGGTCCAGCTGTCTTTCATTATCATCCTCTGTAGTCTGTCCCTCTCGTCCTCCTCCACGTGGATCCCCATGTCCTTCAGCATAGGTGCAGCCTCCATGAGTGTAGCAAACGTCTTAATCCCAGAGTCCAGAAACACTTTTAGCTGTGCAGGGAATGGGGGACTGTGCCTTCACGTTCTTCTCTTTAAGTTTTTTTATGACGTCCCGTACCTGTTTCCTCTTCTTTTGTATTTCAGTCGTGTAGTCTTGATTGAAGTAGATAGTTCGTCCCTCATATGTAGTCTTTTGTTTCCATGCTTGCTGTATAACCTGCTCTTTCATACGTGCGTCCAAGAAGCGGACAATGATTGCTCTCAGGGGAGCATTACTTTCTTTCGGTTTGGCAATTAACGAGCGGTGTGCTCTTTCAATTCGGATGTCCATGTCATCTGGAATTTGCATTGATGAGTTGATAAAGTCAGTTACGAAACCTATCATGTTGTTTTTCTCAGAGCCCTCCGGAATGCCATGTATCCGCATATTGTTGCGTCTCGATCTTGATTCCAAGTCTTCACACTTTGCAGTCAGCTTAGCCTCCTTATGAAGGAGAAAGGAGGCCATTCTTTCCAGACGTGCCGTCTTGTCCTCCGTGGGAGACCCAGCCTCTCTTCCACATGTTTCACCTGTTGCTCTAGTGAGGTTGTTCTTTCCATGAGCTCCTTCATGTTGGTCTCTAGCCTAGCCAGGGCCTTTTTGTTATCCTCAGCCGCTTCTGTGAGATTGAATAGCAGTTACTAAAA